CGTGGCACGTCTCAGGTGTTGGAAGACGATTCCATTGCTTGGAATGGGAACTTATTGTCCTCAAAAAGATCGAGAGAGCACCATCTTAGCCGTCCATCAAGCCATCAAGGTTCACTTTTCTCTCTTCTTATTAAACAATTTCATGTGTTTACTTTAATTGTATCAAAAACTTTATCAAATTATCTTATAATATACACTAGTGTTTTTTTTCCTCGTATGTATCACTTCTATTTCTATACCATCCCCATAATTAAGTCATAAAGTGCATGCAAAGTAGAGAACAGTCACTTGACCACCAAATGTGATTAACATTTATAGAAGTTAATTAAGTATTTAGTATATTTTTGTTTATTTCGTTTGGAAAATTATACTCGTATAAAAGGTTTGGATAATTACGTTTAATTATTAAAAAAAAAACACAAATTCGTTTACAAATTCTTTACGATTGTAAGAAAAATATAAAATCTTTCTACTTAATCAATCTTAAAACTTTCGACATCTCATAAGAATTTACTTATTGGAATGGAGGCAGATAGGGTATAGACATTTTGACACAGCAAAGATATATGGATCAGAAGAAGCTCTAGGAACTGCATTGGGACAAGCTATCTCCTATGGAACTGTTCAAAGAGAAGATATATATGTCACTTCAAAGTTATGGTCTAGTGATCACCATGATCCTGTCTCTGCCCTCAGACAAACCCTCAAGTAAACATCTAGATCTCTCTACAAACACAAACAGTCACCTACGATATCGAGAGATCTCAATCTCATGATCAAATTGTTTATGACTTTTAGGACAATGGGACTAGAGTATCTAGATGGTTACTTGGTGCATTGGCCAATAAAGCTTAAGCCAGGAGTGAGTGAGCCTGTCCCAAAGGAAGAAGAGTTTGAGAAAGATTTGGGGATTGAGGAAACTTGGCAAGGCATGGAGAGATGCTTGGAAATGGGTTTGTGTAAATCTATTGGTGTTAGCAACTTCTCTTCTAAGAAGATCTTCGATCTCCTCGATTTCGCTTCTATCTCTCCTTCGGTTAACCAGGTTTGGATTCAACATTATACTACCAAGATTTATTAATGGAGAGGTTTTAAGAAACTAAAGGGTTTGTATATCTATATATAGGTGGAGATGCATCCATTGTGGAGACAAAGCAAGCTAAGGAAAGTTTGTGAAGAGAACAATATCCATGTAAGTGGATATTCACCACTTGGTGGGCCAGGGAATTGCTGGGGATCAACGGCTGTGATTGAACATCCTGTCATCAAATCCATTGCTCTCAAGCATAATGCCACTCCTGCTCAGGTAACCTCAGAATTAGGTTCTTTCATCTTTTGCTAATTAAGGGACTTAATTAGTTTAATTATAATATAACCAATAAAATGATTCATATCTATAAATGAAGGTGGCTCTAAGGTGGGGAATGTCAAAAGGAGCAAGTGTGATAGTGAAGAGTTTCAATGGAGCAAGAATGAGAGAGAACAAGCGAGCTTTGGAGATTAAACTGGATGATCAAGACTTGTCATTTATTGACCAATTGGAGGAATGGAAGATCATGAGAGGAGAGTTCCTTGTTAATCAAACCACAAGCCCTTACAAATCCATCCAACAACTTTGGGATGGTGAGATTTAATTTATTAGGGTTTCACATTATTCCATTAAAATGTAATTTCAGCTTCTCATTATGTTTTCCTATGATCATCCTTTTCTCATTTGGTATATAAAGTCAGTACAACATGAAAAAACACCCTCTTGATTGATTTGATTTAGAACTACAAAGGTCTCTGATTCGATTTTTGTTCAGAAACTAAGGAATGTAGACGTAACATTCATAAACCCTCTTCTTAGAAGTTTTAGCAGCTAATTCAAGGTTTGGACAATAGTGTTGTGCCACGGATCAGACAAGTGTTGCAACAAGTTCTCAAATGGTCCTTTTCCAGTCACATTGTGTTGAACCACAAACCCTAAAAACGCAAGCATCGCCAACCTCCCTGCAAAAAAGCCAAACTTTTCTAATTAGGTTTCTTGCTTAAGAAGTTAAAAGATTTGTAATGTAATGTACTATTGATTAATCTTTAATTACCGTTTGCGAGCTCCTTCTCCTTAGCCTCGAGTGTTGGAGTGAAGTTAAGCGGGTTAAAGATTCCTCCAGGATAACCGACTTCATTGGGAGGTAAGCTATATT